AATTCAGCCCATCGAACGATTACCTATTAATGATTTTCACTGCTCTGTACTTTAGTCTATGCAAAAGTAGTTCAAAAATTGGAAAACAGTTAAAAATTTCACGCACCAGCGCATGAAGGCTGAATTCGAAACCTTGAAGGACGAATATCTTTCCGTGATTCCCGAGTTAATAGTTTTCCAGCCAAAATTTTCACGAGGCCGTAGGTGGTACCCGAGAGTGCGAGAACGCTGAATTTGAATAAGCAAGGTTGAGTGGGGGCAGGGGATCAGTACCCTAAAATTTCAGCCTCCTAGACTCCGTGGTTCCCGAGATATTAACCTACCCGTAAAAAACTTTCACGGGGCCGTATGCGTTACCCGCGGGTACGGGGAAGCTGAATTTAAATCTGCGGAAGTGAGTGGGGAACGTTACCCTAAATTTTCAGCTTCCTAGCTTTTGTGGTTCCCGAGTTGAAAGTTGTCGACAAGTTGCTGTGGATACACACACACACACAAACACACACAGACAACCCCATGACAATATGCGTTTTGTACTGCTGTTACACAGCACAAGACGGATAAAAATGGCAAAAATGTTTTCTAACGCTATTTTACAAGCGAAACTGGTAGTTTCGAAGCTGGTGCTACGGAAAACAGTTCTTTCCAATTCGAATTCATATAACCCTAGCGTACTGTTTTTTTTAAATGGAGTCCTCAACATATTAGATACACAAGCTTTAATTTCGCAAAACTGTCGGAAGAATGCAGTAGTGAAATCTTTGCAAACTGACCATCATACTGATACAGTGCACAAATTTCATCAAATTTTCACACAACTGCTGCCGATTTTCGAAAAATTTCATTTAAAACTGTCAACACAGTATGTAGGAGAAAAAAACAAACCAAGTGAGGATGATCTGCATCAGAACTTTGAGGTTCGGATATTTGTAATAGGCTTTTTTGAACAGTGTATCCGTGTTCAGTGAGGTCCACACAAGCGAAATAAGCCAGGCCTTCCAGTAGAGCGTCCTCACAGCCAGCGACGGCAACTCATTCCTGCAGATATTAAGAATCCCACATAAATTTACTATTTTCACAACAAATCTCAATAGAAAGTTGCAAAAATTACTCACTCTCGTATACTGAACGTCGGTGGAGGCCTATAGGCCGTAATTCCAAACAGACTATCCAGTAAGTTACAATCACTGATCGGAATCAAGCTTCCTCCACCTGCAAAATCATCATTTTTTGTTTGCTGATCTTTATTCTGTTACGAAAATCCTCTCACACTACGAATAAATTTTAAAAAAAAAAGATGGTTAGCAATAATTTGTGCAGATTAAAGTTAACTTTTACTGTAACAATATCAACAATCATGGAAATGAATTGTAGATTGGCAACCTCAAACTCATTTCAGAAGGCATTTGATGGAAAGTTCATTATTGCCTAAAATTTACGAAAAATTGCAAAATCTCATGTTCCTCTCCATGTACTCAAAAGGCCGAAGCAAAAACTCCGATTGTATAGCATAAATTAATTCATTTTTTAAAGCCCTTGTAATTAGAACACAGCTGTAAATCAGACTATTTCTCTAAAAGTTTTTGACGATTTTTTCATTTGCCCAAACCACTACTGCTGGGAAGCTGAAATTTTAAGGGGATGCAGCCAGTATGCCGATCGATTTCGACATTAGTTCCGTTAGTAAAAGGGTCTAACTGCTCACCAGTTCTAATAATAATAAAAGCATTTGGAATAAGGTTTGGAGTGTAAAGTATTTGGAATGTATATTACTTAATGGACCGAAACATTCCTGTTCATTTAAGCTTTCAATAAAATTCTGCGTTTTTTATATGATATAAATAATATCTCTATTTGGCTGTTCTGAGATATCCTTAGTATAAGCTGATCATCAATACTTTTTCACGGACAATAAGCTTTTTCTTCGTTGATTGGGAGTTATATCACACTTTCGTTTTGAAAACAAGCACAAAAAAGCTTTTTGTTATAGATCACCATGCTCTCATGGCTATTAAATGGATTATAATTCTAACACTTTCACCATGTTGATGGATTATAAGTCAATCTCTCTCCTATCTTCCTCTTCTTCTCTCTTCCTGCCTTCCATTGTTTTCTTTTTCCAATCATCTCCGAACACCGTGACCGTCATACTGACGAGGTCCAGTCGCGCTGTTGAGCTAAGACGTATATGACTTAATGGACCGAAACATCTTAACTCTTACTCACTTATTTTTCCTACACCAGCTATATTTCTACATCTATAAATACACAGCCAGTCCTAGTCCTGCCCTATTTAAGTGCTTAATATTACTAGTATGCTACAACCATGCAAGAATCAGCTCAGTTTTGCAGAACAGTTTGTCGATACAACGCTTTGTGCTGCACAACACTTCCTTCCTTTCCATATTTGAAGGCTGATTTCTTTTGATTACCAAGTATTAAAAAAAAAAGCAACCGAAAACTGACCTAGC